GTCATATATAGAAATACGTGTTTATAAGTGAGTGTTTCCAAAAATGGAAGGGGGTGAGCAGGGTGTCACTATGTTGGATTTATTACATGAGCAATATCTTAGCAAATTGAAAAGATAAAAGGCTCTTATTTTATATTCTAGCTTGTCAATATCTGTAATTTAAGTTTCTAATTCATATGAAACTATAGACTTAGTATTTTGACTTCACAAACATCTAATTTGAACCAGTGTTGCATTCAACATACCACGTGACACACAAAAATCAATGTTTATCTGTTTTTAATATTTGCTTTTATATTAACAAATTGAGTAATATATAGTTCTAAAATTTGAATTATAATCTACAGTGTGATACCAAACTTATTGACATAGATTCATGAAATAGTAGTTCAATACAATTTTGAATGTGAGTCAACAAATGAGATGATATGGCCTTTCACCTGTGACCTGTATCAAAAGGGTTAAGCATTATAATACTCAAGAATCAGCACAATGGAATTTGGGGAATGGTGTATTTCTCAAAAGGATCAGGTGTACCTTGGCTTCATGGTCATCATTATAAGTGACCATGTGTAGTAAATAATTGGGAACCATTGGTTTAAAGTACTGAATTTAGTTCACTGAAACACTAAAAATGTTTCTCACTTCTTGTAAAAACCATCCTGTTGTATTATGGTTTATGTTACTGTGTTTAGTTCACTGAAACACTAAAAATGTTTCTCACTTCTTGTAAAAACTATCCTGTTGTATTATGGTTTATGTTACTGTGTTTAGTTCGCTGAAACACTAAAAATATTTCTCACTTCTTGTATAAACCATCCTGTTATATTATGGTTTATGTTACTGTGTTTAGTTCACTGAAACACTAAACAGGTTTTTCATTTACTATACATATACATATAGTAATTATAGCTTAGATTATACAGTTTAGGTCAATAAAAGAGTAACAGGCTTCTCACTTATTTTACACACCATCCTCCTGTATTATGGTTTCGATTATTAAATGTAGTTCAGGAATACATTAACTAGGTTTCTTACTTGTTGTGTGGTATACACCAATTAACTGTATTATTGTTTAGATTATTCAATTTTACTCAATAAAGCAGCAAACAAGTTTTACAACTACTTTAAATCACATTATGACCTATTATGTTAAACATTTGGATGAACTTACGTGTTTGTTGATATAACACAGTATGAATTCCATCTTCTTCATCAGTTTCTTCCATTTTGAATTTCTCACAAGACCAGGCCATTCCAGTTATGTTAACTCCTTCCTGAACTCTAACTTGACCAACCATTTCACCATGTACATCTGTAACTAGAATCTGACCACTGGACATTCCAAACAATACCTAAAGAGAGTCAAGGTGAAAATGACAACTTCAAGGATTACATTTTAGATTAACAACATGTATTACACAAATGAAATAAAATCTGGCATTTGATGCAATAAACTTTATTTACATGTATGATGAATGAAGAAAGAAATATTGTTGTAATAAAAGATTTATGATAAAATGTTTAAAATGATATAAAATTTAAAGAACAAAGTTGTAAGCATATTTTCATGTATTAGACTCAATATCATAAAAGTAGTGAGAAGGGTGAGAAGAATGTACTTATGTTTTATTCTAAGAACAGGATTATTGTGCGTGTAACATAATAAACATAATTCACGTTTTTTGACTTGGTTTAATTCTTTCAATATTGAAGACTTCTCAGTGATTGGTAAAATCTATCTATAACCATTCACACCTACATATTAATCAATATATTAATATAGATAGAAGTACATTGTTCTATTTATATCAATATACACAATTACAGTACATTAAACTAATTTTACCTACAACTGTCATACATAAAACCAATACACTAAAACATTCATGCATCAAATTATTTTTATTACTATAACATTCATTGAAAGTACAAAATAACTGTTTCCTTTCTTAAAAAAGATAATAAAATTTTTTGAAAAACTTTGTCTTGATTTTAAAAATATTCTCAACAATCTGACCACACACCTGTTGATCATCAGGAGCCCAAATTCCACAAGTAATGTTGGCATCAAGATTTAAGTTAGAAGACCAATACCTCTGTCCAGCAACAGATCCCACAAGGACAAACCCATCCTGGTAACAAATCAGGGCCATTCTACCATCATGGCTCCATGCAAAGTCTGTCACTTGTGTGTTACGATCATTTATTAACTCAATGGACCACCTGCCTTCAAACTTGATCCATACAAAGATAATTCCACTACTATCACATGAAGCCAACTTCTGATATGGTTCATTCCATTTTACAAGAGTTACCTGCAAATATAATACAGTTGCAGTACACCAGAATAATGATGAAACAAAAACTAATAAGCAGCATATTTTACATTTTTGTTCTATCAGATAAATGCAAGTCTAAATTACAGCAGCTTAATAATTCTGAAATTTATGCCAGTGCTTACTTTGAAGTGTAAATCACACTTGTTTCGCAAATTAAAAACAAAAAATAATGTAGGTAAATGATGATGATAATTTCAAAATCAAAGCAGTTGAACAATGTTTTTAAATAAATCTCAATTAACATGTACATAAAGAATAGAAAATATTATTTCATAAATCTTGAACTTTTCATATAAATTGTGGAAGCAATATAATAACATCTAAATTTGGCCCCAATGATACAAAAACTCTAATTTAGCTATTTGCTTTTTGAAATAACTTAAAACACAGTATGAGTACCTTTGCATTAATCTTTTGTTATATCACCATACATATAATTTATGACATTAATACTCTAAGTGAAAGTTCTGATATGTACCATTATGGTTATATTATTATTATTTAATTTTTGAAATACAATCCTTATCCTTTGAAAAATTGGTGCTGTTTGCACATAAGTCTGAGATTCATTTGTGAAATGATTTTTTTTTCAAGTATTAGAAGTTTATTAGAAATGGCAAAAATGATGGGTACAAGCATGAGGTCTGCAAGCACTTCTTGGTTTAAGAGTTCCTACATATATGTATATTTTGAATTTAAAAAACAATTCTACTGTTCAAAACAAGAAATGATCAAACAACAAATTTAAAACAGATGCACTAATGAAGGTTTAAGTCCTGTATTTAGGATATACGATATTAGAAGTAATTACGTAAATGGTGAGAGAAAAAAATATAAAAAGACATACTACAGGAGTCTCATCCTTTATACATAGAAAACTTAAATGCACCAGAGTACACTCATGTTTTGATAGTTTACATTATGAATGAGTGTCGTCCAAGTAATCATAAAGTGCCACACAACCATATTACCTACAAAAGTGCAGGCAGTTATACTTTTCCTAGTAGTAGTGTTAATCCTGTTATGGCTCCTTGGACTGATACACAGCATGAAAAACACATAAAAATCACAGTTTTGGCTGATCAGAAATAATCCATTCAAAAAATTGTGGGAGACTACATGTTTTGGTATGAGCTGTATGGTAGACTGAAGAGGGTATGTGAAACTGGCATTAGTAATAATAGAAGTGGTTGAGCACAGATCTTGCCAATGACCTTTACGTAAGTACAAGTGTGAATGTTACCTTCAGAAGAATTACAAACACATTAGCATGGATTTCAATGAACATTTAGCCGATCGAAAAGCACTGCTGTAAAAATTTAACCAACCAAAAGGTTGAAACGGGCATCAAATCACAAACAGTGGAATGAGCAAAGCTGGAGAAGGGTGCTCTTCACAGATGAATCCAAGCTGGAATTATTTTGCAACAATAAGTAATAGTTTGTTCAAAGGCAGATAGAATAATGGTATCATGATTCAATGTACTGAGCATTGATAATGATGAATGGTGGTGGATCAGTACAAGTTTGGGGCTGTATCTCTCCTAATAGTGTCAAGGATATACACAAAATTGGTGGTATCCTTACTGCTGACAAGTACAAGCAAATTCCAATCAGTTATGCCATTCCCTTAAGAACACAACTCTTTGGTCAAAAATTATCTTCCGGTAAGACAATAACACTAATCATACATCAAATGTGGTGAAACAATATCTTGATGGTAAAAGAGGCTGATGAAACACACAATTATGGCTTGACTTGCAGAAAGTCCTCATATAAATATTATTGAGGCTATATGGCCTTACGTAAAAAACTGAAGTCAATGGGTGACCAAACAGAATGAATGAATTGTAAAGAGTAATTTGGAACAAGATTCAATGATTGCACATTGTGACAGACTGTACAGAAGCATGAAAATAAAGTGTAATGTTCTCTGCAAAGCAAATGACTCGCATATAAAATACTAGCATTTTTCTTTAGTAGTTTCTGTGATAATGTTTTGTACCATTAATAAATTTATCATCTACTTGCCATTACTCACTGTTTGTAACTCCTTAATGTGTATTGCTTATGGTGTTAACATTTTATTGAAATGTACATTTGTTACTATGTTAAACTTGTAATAAAGTTTCATTCATTACCCATTCAAAACATCTTCAAACTTTATTGTCTTAAAGTGGATTCCTTGTCATCAACTCTGAAACCATAACTACTTTTGCAAAGTAAAGTGAGACTTGAAGGTCTGTCTATTCTGTCAGTGAGATGTTCTAAAACATCTCAGAGCAGTACAATTAGATTCAGGTCAAGTTTCTAGATTGGAATAGTTCTCTGCCCTCCATATTTTTTATTTATAATAATCACAGAGTTTGGTAGTCTGAGGAATGTGGGATGCTGCACTAGGATACCAGTATGATAAAAAAGTAGGGTATCCACATTATTCTCTCTCTTAATTTTATAATATAGTTCTTTGCTTGATCTTTGCTATTTATGGACATGTTTGGAAACTCCCTTTGCCCTAGCAGCCAGCTAAAGCCTTAAAATATAAAGAGTAACCAGCATGTTAAGTTGGAAACTTATAGACTTTGTTTACAGGGAAAGAAGATTATTATGTTTACTTGTTTTGTTTATTTTCCCTTAGCTGTTTGTGCTTGAACTTATTCAATGCATAATATTTCTGGAATGGTATGTACTTGCAGCACATAGGAAACTTAGTTATGGCTGGACTGATTAGCATGTTGTCTGCCAACAGGTCAAAGAGGCAATCATGTGATACTCGTAAGCATTTTTAACATGTTAATGTGCTTAATCTCATGAATTGGATGTGAAGATCCTGATGACTATAATGATGAGATCATCATGTTGTGTGATATAGCCTCAGCTACTGAGAAGAAAGAAACTAGCAGAAGTTAAGAAGTATTAACATGAATGTAAAAATGTATTTAGACATTTGCAAATATTCACATTTAAGATGATAATTCATTAGGCTTTTTTTTCCCCCGTAATATACTCATAACAATATCCCTGTAATCTAGTGATTTTATTGTGGGGACAGACATGATAAAAACCTTAAGCTATTCATCTATTACATTAAGGTTTATGTTTTCATATATAAGGCAAATGAATATTTTGTGCAATCTGGACAGCTACCTTCTAAACTACTGCAACTACTCATGAAACCCATGATAACAGCATCGGCATTATTGACCAAGGAAGTGTGCTGTCAGTCACTCTGATGTTGTATTCTAATTTTAGCCAGATGTATAACTGTATTATTTTTCATTCATTTTATTTTATCTTAGTTTGAGCCAAAATGCAGCACAATAGACTGTCTGTGCTTTATTTATAGTAGGGTTTCAAACCCCAAATTTTAGCATTATAACCACAAAAGCTTACCTCGGAGTTTGTTTACTGTGACTTTCTTATATTTTCAAAAATACATCACTTATTAAAGATGTCTAATCTTCTGTAATGTCAGTAGTAATTTTAGCCTCTAACTTGAATTGTGTGTTTGTGTATTGGTTATTTTTGTAACTGCACGTTCTTCAAGTTAAGCTATTCATGTAAAATAATCCAAATATTCAAAGATTTTAACAGAAGAAGTTAATGTTCTGTAAAACTTTGATGTGTTTTGCTGTAAAAATCAACACTTTTTGTCTACTTGACCTTGCAGTGTGCTTGTGTTATAAACTTCTTATTCTTTAGCCACTGAGTGATATAACATATTCTGCAAAATAAAATTAAAAGCTAATTTTGTTTTATTAATAATTTTGGTTTGGTTTGAGTTTAAACAGTCAATATGTCAATTATGACCAACTAAAGAAACTAACACATAGAAATAAGTGTCTTCCCTCTCCTCACACACACACTCCTAAGAGTTTTTTGTCATGTGGGACCTTGTATTTCTCAAGGACAATCCACAACATTACAGGTTTATGATATAATCATAAAATATCAATAGCTGCTTCAATAGTTCTTTGGATACTAGGGCTCTAAATTAATATACCATGATTTTCACTGATATACAATTATTGATATATAATTTCCATATATCTCATACATTTTTTGATATGATTTATAGCCTATATTTACTGTACCAGCTTACTGTAAGTCAAATGTTTTTATTCATTATAACTTTCCCCTGTAGTCTAACATAGATATTATAGTCAGAATAGTTTTTCACTAGGTATTTAACAACAAAAAGTGATAAAAGTAGTTGGGTACATCAAAAAATGCTGTAAAAGTTGTTATAAACTGAATCAAATCTATACACATCATCAATAACACAGTAACTTAATGACAATAAATTATTTTAAATTAAATCTTAAATAGAACACTTAATATTTCCTTTCATGTTTCTCTATTTCTTTCTTTTTCATACATAGTTTTCACAACACTATTCTGATTCAGACATTCCTATACTAGGCAAATATCATGCGAGTTTCTGTTCTTGAAAGTTTAAGAGGCCATAAAGCAAATATGAAGGCTGTGAATCCTAGGGACACAGACATAGCAGAATAAATATTTAATGGATTTGTTTTATAAATAGTTTTCTAGTATCTTAGCAAATGAAATCATTCAAGGCTAAATGCAAAACTGTGAAGTTTTGATGTTTTAAGCCTACAATACGATGATCTCTTTGATAATCCTGGGGATGAATGTAGCAATTTTTCTTGATCAAAATGACAATCGTCAGAAATGAGATAGCTCTGCAGATTTGTCTGAATAGTTCCTGCTTGTAGATATGTGGTATTGCACTATTCAGTTATACACATATGCTTGACGGTTTGTCTCAAGTAGCTTGTCCAGACTTTAGCTCAGTATTTATTTCACAACAAAATGTTTAACTTCATACCAATATAACTGGCATTACTTAATTATGCATATTAATTTGCCTCATTGAGATTTTAAAAAATTCCACTATGATTTCATATTATTATTATTTTCAGTTAATTCAAGGTTGTTCAACTTAACCCTCTG